ACCTTTTTAAGACTTTATGCTCAATGGTTCGATAAAGTCATAACTCTTGATAGTGAATGTCCAAAACGCCAATCAATTAATAAATTACTAACAATTAACGTTACATGATTAACTAAAACCTTTTCAAATTGAAGTACCGGATGAGTCATAATGATTGCGACATTTAGCATTTTGCAAATATCTCAGCTGAGATAAATATGTATCATAATATTGATTCTTTATAGAAAAGATATGCTTCAAAAGCTTCTAAAAAAGCTGTACAAACAAACTTCAAATGACTTCTTTCAATGATGTCTTCTACAGTCAAACTGAACAAGTCGTATAATGATGCAATATCCTATTATTATACGATTTATCTCGGCTGAGATATTTGCAAAATGCTAAAATTTCAAAAAAAGATAATTTAATGTATTTGGTAAAATAATATTCTTTATTCCTTTTACGAATAGTTACATTTTCATTGTTCTCATTAAACTAATTAATTAAATCTTGATAAAGACTAAGATATTCGTTTTGTTTTCGATCGAGATATAGTCTATGTACACATCCAGATGAGTCATCGAATCAATGTCGAAATGCACTTTCTAGTTTTTATGAGGAGTCAGAAGATAAAAATACGATGGAAATACTTTAAAATAAATTCTCTTTCAAACTGCGTTTTTATTTTTTTTTAGTAAAATTAGTCTCACGCATTTGAGAGCGTACAAGAACTATGCAACATTAGATGTTCGACAATTCAATTTTATAATTTTTGTCTATAACTCCGAAGTTTTAGTTCATCAGAAGAAATTAATAGCATAAATGTTCTATGTTATTGTTTTTCTTTATTTATTATAAAAATGGGCTTTTAACAATCAGTCTCACCAAAGTGCATTAGTGGAAAATATGTTCGACATTGATTGACAATTCCAGCTATGCTTTTTTTCACCATATTACGTAGTAATAAGTTACATTCAAATCAAATTTATTGCTCATTGGCGGCATCTTCTATGTGAAAGGTTTTGATTCGTATGACAGTGTCGACAACGAATAAATTCATTCAATTTGAACAGCTCAGCGTTTCCAATAGAAATCTGAAACAAAGTATATTTGACTATTTGCTTCTACTGACAAAGTATTTGCTGGTACTTTGTCCTAAATATCAAAGTACCAAAACATGGATTTGCTTCATAAAAATCAAAGAGCCAGTTAATGAAATACATATACATGAAATGAGATCATGCTCTTCGATTAGGGAAGGACTGAGGGTCTGATCCCCACCACAAATCGAAACTACGTCTGACTTCTGGGAAATTTTCTAACACATTCTGCCAAATTTTTGAAAACTTCATGGTAAATTCTGGTAGAAAGTCGAATAAAAACACTTTCTGTCAATAAAATCTCACAGAAAGTCGATTTATTTAGTATTCTTTGTTCGGTTTCTGCTAATAAAATCAGATAAGGCACTTTCTGTCAAAATTTTCAGACTTTTCGAAATTTTAGCCCCTTCCACTTTTCAACACAATCGGAAATCATGAATTAGATCCAAATATACGATAAGAATAAATGAAGAAAGAATTAAAAAAATTATATTGAAAATCTAAAAAGATAAAAAGAAATTTTAATGCTAAATTCAATGAGACTAAACGAAAATTTCTTTTTGCTCCATCTCATCTACCGACATAATCAATAAACAAGAGGAAGACGACGAGTAACTTCTAAATAATAGTATAAGAAATAAGCAAACTGTTTTTTTTTTAAATTTACAAAGTACCATCAAGGTACCGTGTGTTTTCCAGCAAAGTACAAAACACAGTACTTTTTCAAAATCGTAAGTACCTTAGATAATTTGCTTTTGCTTGAGATACTTAATATTGGAAACACTGGAACAGCTTATCTCGACCATGAAGATATTCGTTCTTATTACGTCGATATTAATTGGTTTTCTTTGTGACTGATAGGATATTTTCATATATTATAATGATGTCATTCATTATTTTTTGTTTAGTTCGACGTCTATCCTTTATTGAATTCGACGTTTGTCTTTTTTTTCGCCTGAACTTATATATATATATTAGTTGAGTTGTTTATCATAATCTATTTGGTTTAACATTGACTTGATTCAATTTCTTGTTCTTGTTTTAATAATTTTGGTTTTGGTACAATTCATCGATCATTTGTTTCAATTGATTATATCGATTAGATTCTATTGAAGAATTTTGTTTGTTCAATTGATTATTAATCTATATTATATTTCATTGATAATTTGTGAAAATGTCACTAAATGACATGAAAAGGAAAACTGGTGAAGTTGAATACTATTTATACCAAAATGACATCATGAGTGCATTAAAAGTATGTGACTTTTGATTTTAAATTGAATGTATACATAATATATTTTTGTAGGCACTTGGTGAAATAATTCAAGAATTGATGTCCAAAAATGATTATGTTGTTGATAAACAATTGAAAGATATGTTAATAATGAGTTGTATTAAACGTATCAATATTAATTTTAAAGAAAAAAACTATCGCAGTAAGAGAAAATCTTTTTTTAAAGACAGTATACATTCTTAAAAAATTGTTAAACTACTGAACCTTTTTAAGTTCTTCCTACCGAACTTAAAAAGGTTCGGTAGCTTAACAATTATTTTTAGAATGTGTAGTCCCGAATAAATAAACTTATTTAAAATAAGTTTATTATATAAATTTGTCCTTTAGAAACTTATTATTCTAAATGTAGAATTATTAATTCGAATTTTTCATAAATTATGATTTGTTTTTGTTTTAGATGTCATCACAGATGTTAATATATTGAAATCGACAAAATATGATATTTATACAGATCAAAGTACTTTTTCAATGTATCTGTAAGAGAAATTCTATTTCATTTTTCTTTAAATTGTTTTCAATTTTTTTTTAGTGAATCAATAACTAGTCTATGTCAAGAAAAACTAACCATCGAATTAGAAAATTTTAAAATAAATTGTAAGTATTATTTCGATAGTTAAACAACTAGAAATATTGGTTTTTTCCTTGATTGTGACCATCGTCAAAAGA